TGCTTTGACGCCGGCCTTCGGCCAAAACATTGCTAGTACAAATATGCCGACAAAAGGCCCTGATATTGCTCCCAGGACGCTCACACAAACCTGTAAATTTTCAGGCCCTGGATTAATATCTAATTCATTTTTGTTTGGAAATTTGTTTAGGAACACGTTTTTCAGTAAGTAATGAGCAAGTTCATTTAATGAAAAATTGGAAACGTTTTTGGGCAAGTACGTGGCTAGCTTAATTCATGGACGCTTTCATTCCCAAACCTCGCATTTAAAGCGTTTCACTGACAAGAATATATATGCTAACCCGCAAAATGCCACCCAGCGGTTCAGCAGCGAATGCCAGCGCTGTTGATAACAAACCAAATGCAAGTACAAAAATCTGTAAAGAATTTATGTTTGATGAGCACTCAACAGTGCAAAAAAATCTAAACATTTCAAACGAGTCAATTCATCAAGATAACCATGGTCGCCCAGAGCGTCAACAAAAAGCTTTCATGCTCTGGGAACTGCAACTCAAGCATTTCACTGCAAGACGCGGCGGAGGAATTAAATAGCTCAGTGTTGAGCTGAAATTAAGCTTCACCATTCAACCGACACACACAGTCAGGATGAATGTTTCCAGTGTGAAACATTGGAGAATATAAATGAAATGGCCAAAGAGATAGACAACGACAAATACAGTGTAGGCTAGGGGAAGAATGTAGATTGTTAATGGCGGAATCGAGCTAGTTTTTTTTCTGTAACAAAAGAAAGCTGGACGGAGATGAACTCAGGCCACGTCAGAAAGAGAGTTTGAAGCGGAACCGGCAACATTTTGATTGACGCTTAGCTGGTGCTAAAAAATTTCTATGCAGCTCTCTTTTTCAAAAAAAAACAGGTAACTGAAAGTTACGGTTGGGATCTTAGTCAGCAACAAATTTTGGTAAGAGCACTGAGCTGCTGCCAATGAAACTAATAACAAAACTTAAATTATTACCCTCACTCCTCTCCAAAGATAATTCGTGTTTAAAAGGGGAATGTCGCCAGACATCGGGTTTACGTGATTTGCAGGATAAGTAAACTAAAAAACAACTTTATTGACTGTTGTGGCAGTGGCGTCCGAAATTGATCCTTCCAAGCTGTTCTTCAGGAAATCTTCGTAGGTGGCGGCAGCCATGCTGTTCATTCCAGAAGACAGGGTAGACAGCGTAGCTGAGATAATACATGACACATACAATCCAAAAAGGCCTGGTGTCGGTGCTGGAAAATGGAACTGTGTAAAAAAAAGTTTAAATAACACAAGCAGTAAAAAAATTTTTTTTGACCAAGGGACAGTTTTGTCTCGC